GGGCCTACACTAGTCGCCTTCAGGGGCCCTACACTAGTCGCCTTCAGGGGCCCTACACTAGTCGCCTTCAGAGGGCCTACACTAGTCGCCTTCAGAGGGCCTACACTAGTCGCCTTCAGAGGGCCTACACTAGTCGCCTTCAGAGGGCCTACACTAGTCGCCTTCAGGGGCCCTACACTAGTCGCCTTTTACGATACGAATGCAGTGGGATGCAGCAGGTCTATTCTTGGTTTCTTCAATGTTCTCTCAATAGTAAAAAAAGGAAGAAACCACCCCCGATTCGGCGGCAGAGGTTGACGTGATGTGCACGTTAGTCGCCTCTTACGATCATGCAGTGGGATACAGCAAGCTTATTCTTTCAAAGAAAGTCTTTGTTCCATGTATGTAATCAATAAGTACAAAGGGCCCCTACACTAGTCGCCTTCAGGGGCCCCTACACTAGTCGCCTTCAGAGGCCTACACTAGTCGCCTTCAGGGGGCCTACACTTGTCGCTCGCCTTCAGGGGGCCCCTACACTAGTCGCCTTCAGGGGCCCCTACACTAGTCGCCTTCAGGGGCCCCTACACTAATCGCCTTCAGGGGCCCCTACACTAGTCGCCTTCAGGGGCCCCTACACTAGTCGCCTTCAGGGGCCCTACACTAGTCACCTTCAGGGGCACTACACTAGTCGCCTGCAGGGGCCCTACACTAGTCGCCTTCAGGGGCCCCTACACTAGTCGCCTTCAGGGGCCCCTACACTAGTTGCCTTCAGGGGCCCCTACACTAGTCGCCTTCAGGGGCCCTACACTAGTCGCCTTCAGGGGCCCTACACTGGTCGCCTTCAGGGGGCCCTACACTAGTCACCTTCAGGGGCCCTACACTAGTCGCCTTCAGGGGCCCTACACTAGTCGCCTTCAGGGGGCCTACACTAGTCGCCTTCAGAGGGCCTACACTAGTCGCCTTCAGGGGCCCTACACTAGTCGCCTTCAGAGGGCCTACACTAGTCGCCTTCAGAGGGCCTACACTAGTCGCCTTCAGAGGGCCTACACTAGTCGCCTTCAG